ACCGCTCCAGCCGGCGGCGCTTCGGCGGGTCGAGGCGCTTCCTTTTGGCATGGCTGTTTGCAGTTGAAAGGACACATCGTGAAACATTCCAAAAGACATCTCCAACGCCCCGGCCTTGTGTCCGAGGGAATTCTTGCAGGTTTGGTTTGGTCCATGGTGGGGAGCCAACCACGTAAGAACGGGCTTGCCAGCCTTTTTGATTGTGCAAAACAAACCTCTTCGATCAGCGAACCAACAAACCTCGTGTCGACTTCCCGCAGCTGGAGGTGGGCGGCCATGAGCAGGCCTTGGGGGCGAAGGAAAGGGGTCGACAACACCGAAGTCTTGTCACCTGCGGAATGACTGGTGACGGGAGTGACTGGCCCTCCAAAGTCTTTCAGGGAAGAATCTCAGCTCCCAAGACGTGAGGACTAGGAACAAAGGGCGTCAATACTAGGAACAAGAAGCTACTAGGAGCTTTTGGCATTACCAGTAACAAGAGGCTAGTAGCAAGGTGCCTTGCTACTAACAGAGTGAGTAGTCCGAGCTGAGACGGTGCCTGCACGAGGCCAGTCCGCCAGTCGGGTTGGGTCTCGGTCTCGCAGGCGAGGGCAGATTGCCATCGACCGCATCGTGGCGCTGAGGAGCTCGGTCTTGCCGCAGCTTGACGAAGAGGGAGTGAAAATAACAGACATGGAACTGCTCAAACTCGTCCAGTTTGAGGCAAGGGCCGCGAACAGGCGTGCCAGAGACCCACGTGGTGTCTCAGGATCTGAATTTTGTATCTATGTGTTGTTTTGGGTGGGCCAACCCTGCGGCCGGGGGGCAAACGCTGAGGACCGAAGAAACTTCGTCTAAGATGAAAGGGACCAAACAGGCTGAACAGGCTTGGCAGGCTTGGCATGATCCCTGCCACGCAATCCACAACGTCACTTGATCCAACCAGGGTTGTGTTCAAACTGCTCAGCTACTAAGGATCTACGTCATCATCAGCGTGCATCTCAGCCGTACAATCTACATATATATATACATCTGCATGGTTGTTGGAGAATGTGAAAGTTCCTGAAACAAGCCGGAGATCTCACAAGTGTGAAGTGTTCTCCCAGCTGTGAAAGGTCCACTAGTCTATTGATGTCTATTTCATGCTTCTGAATCTGATGTTTCCTCAAGATCCAGACTCATACCACTTGGATGGTGTCCCACCATCCATGGCTGCATGGCTGACGGCCTCCATTTCCCCAGGGTCAGAAGGCGTCACGACCGCAGATGAGGTGCAGCTTCGAACGCTTCGTCCGTCGTCGGGCTCCAACTCTTCGGGTCCGAATTCGCAGCCGAAAAGGGTAGACCGAGAAGCTGATGGTAACGACCTGATTTTCAGCTAAAGAGGGAGAAAGAATGAGAAAGGAAGGGCCAGGACGAGATGGAAGGTAGAGAGAAAGGCAGGAAAGCAGTGTGCGGGGACAGCTGCAAGCCTGCACATGAAGCAGACCATTATGGTCCTTTTTGCAGACACCAGGGACAGGATGGACACCACATCCGAGCGGGACAGCCACGAGCGTTTTCTGGCAGGTCTCTGAGGATGGCAATGACTTCCTCACCACTCGGATGTGCGAGACCACAGAAACCAAAGCACACGGGGATGGTGAGGTCTCACGATTCGTCAGAAACACAAAACAATGAGGTCTTTATTTTTAAAGGGAGGGTAGGCCGCAACTGAGGTAGGTAGTAGCTGTAGAGATAGCTAGCTAGCTGTAGAAGAAGAGATCAGCTACTACCTACAAGTAGCTACTAGTATGGACAAAGGATAGCTCACGCTTCTTCAAGGAAGCTCTTACGGCGGCGGGGGAAGCTTCCTTGAAGAAGCGCTCGCACTAATGATTTGGTTTCTTGATTTTTAGGGAAACTTATATAACTTGGAGAGAGGAGCAACCAAGACAGACCCGGGCAGTAATTGTCGAAAGATACAGCACACCACACCCACCGATTTACTAAACGGTCTTTGCTCCTGGAAGATTCTTGAAGATCATTGCTGTTCTGGGCCAAGCTTTGCAGGGTTAAACACCATTCCGATTTGACACGTGCTTCCTGCGCTTCCTGATTTGGGTCATGCATTCATTTTCTCCCAAGACAAGGATCCCATGCTCTGGTCACCCAACATCTTGGAGGGTGCAACATGTTCTTGGTCACCCAGTAGTGACCCGAGTCTAATGTGTCTCCCCATAGATGCCGGTGCCCTTTTGTTTTGCTTTCTCGCAGTTTGCGCTAGCCGCAAAGTCCATTTCAATCCAAGGTTTGGCGATCAGATTGCCTTCCAATCCATTCGCCTGGAGCTCAACGCAATTTGCAGAGGAAATGCTTGTTTTCAAGCCTATCTGCTGCGAGTGGAAGGTCTCTATCGGCTGACGAGCAGATGGTGTTTTGCTGCAGAATCTGGGGTCTGAGGTGGGGACTACCTCAGCACGGAAGGTGGCGAGGCCTGAACCAGCCTGAACCGATGAAAAACGACGGCCATCCGGAGCTGAAAACCCAAGCCTTCGATTAATAGAACATATGATGAACACAGAATCCCCCCGACCAGAGTGGCTTTACATCTCCATATCGGGGGTTTTATTCATCAACATTCCATGTGTTCCTGGAGTTCCAACGAAACCTCCGTCCTTGGCTTTGGGGGTCACCCGACGGGCATAGCGATGATCGTGAGACGTCCGCTTCGTCCGTTTTGAGGGACACGGGGGATCTTGTTTCGCCACCTCGCGCGACGCAGATTTGCACGCGGCGCTACTGCAGCACCAATGAGCGCTTTACAGTAGAGAAGCAGGTGCCGCTTCAGTGATAGCAGCCGCAGAATTGGAGTACTGGCAAAGAACGCTAGAGCAAACAGCATAGCTTGAGGGAAGATGACTGCTTCGTCAGTTGAAAGGTCGTCACCTGCGCCATGGGTCCCTGGTCCTGGTTTCATTTCGGTCGAACTCTTGCATTTATTGGTTCATAATTTCACAATGGTTCATATATATATATATAAACAAATATATATATATATATATATTCAAAGAAGGCTTCTGCCACAGGCCTCTTCACCTGATCAGAGAGTGGGATCTCCACATTTCAGTCTCTCCAGGACACTCAGTACGCCTTCCGGTCCTCCAGCGGGCAGTACCTGAGTGTGAGCGACCGGGCGCCCTTTGTGACCCTGGTGTGGCACCCAGGTGAGGTCAGGCGCAACGATGGGAATGTCCTCGTAGAGTCGCTCTACTCCATTTTATGTCCTCGTCATTATGTCATATGTCATATGTCATAGGTCAGTTTGAATCATTCATGCGTATCTACATCATATTCACAGTCAGGATTTGGCAAGAAATTGGGGGAGGGAATCAGGATTTTGTTTCACTATTTTTGTTCTTCTTAAATGAGCAACTGCCAAAAGCGTGCGATGACCAATTTAGTAAAGAGCGGTCATTCGTTTCAGGAATTTGGCTAACACCTGCAAAAGAGATATATACTAGGGTGAGATGACTTAGGCCAATTGGGTCGAAATGACATACAACTTTCCCAGGGCAAGTCCTAAGTCATGTACAAATGTTATACAGGGCAATTTCATTGGCACACACTCATGACATAGGCCTTGTTGACCTGGTCCTGAGTTTTTTTTTTTTTTTGGGGGGGGGTGGTGGGGGGCATGCTCCTGGAAGACTAGAGCTAATGAAAGTCCACATGTCATAGGAACATCTTTTGCTTTAAGTCTGCCTTTGTGCGTTTTTGCTCTCAAATTCCTATCTCTCGATGGTTTATTCATTGTTTAGATACCAAAGTCGTATGTCATGATGCTTGTCAATATAAAATCAACTGTTTTTAGGATCTTTGGTGACAACCTCTGGCATCTCTGATTTTGATGTTTTTCCAAGCTTTTGCTTCATGACATAAATACTTGTGGGGGGTAGGCTAAACCTTCATGACTTAGCCGCCGTAATTTGGAGGTAGTTTTCACAAGTCCTTTGTCATTTCAGCCTAGTATAAAGGCATCCCTCAAAAGCGACGACCATGTCGCCGCAGTCTTTGGATTTGTTCAGCTATTGTGGCTGGGGCGTGAAAAAGCAATATGCCACTCCCCTCGAAAGCGGTAGCATTGCTGAATCATGTCCTCTTCTTGCCAGGACGTTTTAGCAGAAGCTCACATATTGCGCTTGAAAGACCAGGTTTTGGCACTTCATTTTCCATTGAGAGGGCTTCTCCCTACAGACCGAGGCATCAGCCCCAGGGGAGACAGAGGCCTTTCAACTCTTCTCGCTGATGATGTACGGCGTGAATGCGGGGGCGGCTGAGAGGGGATTTCTACAAATGAACCCAATCAATCGGGCAAGCCATCAAACTAAGGGACACCTCAGACTCTGAATCACCAAAGACGCTACTAGGGGCTCCTGGCATCGCTACTAGGAGCAAGAAGCTACTAGGGGCTCCTGGTCATACTACCAGTAACAAGAAGCTACTAGGGGCTCTAAAGTTTGAGTTTCTCCTTCAGGCGCGGCCCAAAGGAAGGTGTGACTGGGGTTGCAAAACAGGAGTGATGTACTGCTCGAAACAGAAAGGCCCATGGAGTGTGCTGCAGTTGAGATCCAGTCTAAAGGACCTGAACTGGAGCTTTGGGGTTCATCAGCTTCGATCAGCTTGACTCAGGTTGGACAGCAATTGGAGATGTTGGATAGGCTCGTCCGGGCGAACGGATTGCCCTTCGCGCTTCATGAACTGTGCTGCTGAAGCTTTAGTAAGTTGGAGGTGCTTCTCTCCTATGCCTAGGATATTCAGCTCTTTTGGCGGAAGAGGAGTGGCCACCATGCTCTCTCTGGCTCAAGCTGTAGGCACGTCACCACAAATGGTGTGCAACGTGAGGACATGAGCAGCAAGACAGTTGACCATTTTTCCAGGCACCCCAAATCCCAGCCTCATACTTATGATGTTTGCAGCTGGAAATCTTGACGTTGTTCGCCTCCAGTATCTTGTTCTGACACTCGAAAGTTGAAGACATCCCAAAAGCCGCAAGCCTATCAAAGCTGAGCCTGTAAGCAGATACAGATTCGCTTGGCAGACATCAGTGGGCCGAAGGCACGCGAAAGACATGCTTGGTTAGAAGCCATCGTGAAGACCTGGAACCTGTTCCATTTGCCTTGTTCATTTCACCGTGGGTGCACGGGTGCAAATCCAGCTGCTATTAATGATGATCCAAATCCACAGTCATGTTTGATGATAGCATCAGGCAGCATCACACTGTTTTTTTGCACTACTTTTGAGTATGAGAGCTACGTTTGTGGCAGTTCAAGATGTGCAGGAGTAGGTACAATGGCTTTCACAACGAACCTCTGGCCGAACAAGAGGGTCTTCCATCACATTATGTTTGGAGGCCGCATTGGTGCATCTCAGGAACCATGCGGCTAGTAGGCGAGATGGGGCGAACGGTAAAAACGCCGCCCGTGTTTTTTCCGCTTGATGCATGGAATTTAGTCCTGAAGGGATGACCATGAAATCCGAATACCAAACAGATGGTGAACTCCACTGATCCTTTCAGGGAGTGTTCAACCCAGGACTATGACATAGATATATAAGCTTTTCGTCAGATGAGCTTTCGTTTTTGTGGCCGGTGTTCTGCAGTATGAGCAACTCACGACTTCAGGACCGATCAGGGCATGATTCCCATTGATTCATTTCTCATGTGGGTACTGTATTGGTCAAAAGCCGACCCTCCACCCTAGAGTAGGTGAACGTTTCCCGTAGACCTGTAGACTCAGTATTCAGCTCATCCTGCTCAACACCCACCAATCAATGGATACTTTTTTTGCAGTCTTTCAGTTCTTTCGGGTTAAGATTACATGTTGCTGCGAAGGACCAGCAGCGTTGGTCATGGTCGGTGTCGGCTTCGGTGCCGTGTGCACTTGCGCACTCCATTCTCCTATAGTGCGACAAAAAGGTTCCGATTTGTTTGTGGCCACGTCAGAGGCTTGCTGTTGGCTGTGTCATTGGCCAATGCAGAGGCCGGGCCAGTCGTGAGACAGAAAGTGGATGGGAAACAATCGGTCTGGAGAATATATGGTCATATATCATGAGATTTCTTGTCCAACGCGTTTTTATATGAAAGGATATAATTTGCATCCCTTTCCAGTTCTGCACTAACTCCACAGGGTACGGGTAAGGTTGGACAGGTTGGGACATGGTGCAGATGGTGCAAATTTGATACGGGGAATTCCCGCCTCTTCAAATCAAACGGCTTGGAGCTGCAAACATCTTGAATCAAGCCGGTTTGTGGCAATCCGTGCAATCGCCTTCGGTCAGACCACTTCCGAGCCCTTCGACTGTGTGGCGGGTGCACAGAACTGGAAAATGGGTTGGTCGCAGCAAAAGAAGGTCTACTGCTGCCGCCTGGCGGAAGTTGATCGAAAAAATGCAAGGCCAGCCTAGGCTGGCCCTCTTTCAAACGCTGGCCCGCCATTGCATTTGGGGATGGTTCAAAATGCCAGCTTGCCGAGTGTTTCAGAAACCAGTCCAGTGGAGCTGTCAACTCTGCAACTCCAAGCCAGGGGGGGGGGCCACCTTCGTTTCACTCCAAATCTTCGGGACACGCAGCAAGTCAGTCTCCCACTCCGCTGGGTGACCGGAGCGAGCGCCAGCGAGGGACGGTTGGACCTGAGGCGAGCACTACAAGCATGGCTGTGAGGACCATCCCCCTGCGGAGGTGGTGCACTTCGAAACGCCTCAGGTGGGGGGAAGCACATGAGTTTCCCGTTCGGAGGAGTGATTTAGAAGGCAATGACCCTGAACAACCCCAAAGGTCCACACCCAAACTCTGAGACCCTAAACCACAGCCCCCCCAAAAATAATAGAACCAGACCCTAGGACCCTCATACGGACTGACTAACATTGGTGTCTCTGCAAGAAGGCAGGGTTCAGCTACAGGTGTGTTGCTTCGATGCCTGCTTCTTCTGCCAGACCATGTCCTAGGTCCTAGGTCATCTGCAAGCCCATGTTCTGCAAGTAGGAAGTTAATCAGAGTTAGCGGGGGTATATACTAAACCGATGACTAGTGCTTGATTATTGGCATTGAACGTACTCATGTTTGTGGTGGACCTTGATGGTGTTGAGAATCAAACAGTGTGTGGAGGACTGGCTGGAGGATGTTGAAGGGATTCCCACAGATGAGTCTCCATCACACCTTGGAAGGCCAGTCACAACAGCTCCATCCCACCTTGGTGGGTCGTGGCGGGTGTGAAGCCGGAGGGTCCCGAGACGGACTACGGCCCCTTGGCGGTGCAACGAACCGGACTAAAAGCCAATGGCGAGTCCATTGGTCGCGGATAGACTTAGATCGTCTTCCTCATGGGAAGACAGTTCGTTGGTGATGGACCTGGGGGGTGGTGCAACGAACAGGTCCTCCAAGAGGTGCTCATGTCACACAGAGAGGTGAGGCAGCCCAGAGCTACCTTATTAGGGCAAGTTATGTGCCACCTTGGACCCACGCCGTTTTACTTGAAGCTAGGGCTGTCAGACACACAGCACACCTGACCTATCACCACTTATATGAATACTGCGCTGTAAGCGGTATGCCCGTTCGCTGTCAGTTCTGATCGCTCAGTTTGGAAGCAAGATTCACGAAACTTATGTCCAATAATACTAGCACCTTAATGGCTGGCTCCTGTAACAGTAGATCAATTCTGTGTCCTTGCCAGGAAGACACAACCGTTTGGTGCCTGTCGCTTTGCAGCCACAACGTTTGCCCGTGCTTGGGGCGAGGCAAGGAGAATGACACAGAGGCTGGCAAGGAGCTGGTAGAGGACGGAAGTGGAGGCGACCAGCAGCACGGCTGGTCTGTGAAGAAAAACCAAAGAGTTCGCATGGAAGATGCGACGGATGCGACTGGCAACTTTTTTGCCGTGTATGATGGCCACGGTGGTACAGAAGCAGTCTGCTTCGTCAAGCTCGCAGTGGTGAACCTACTGTAGGTGATTGTCGCGCACAGGCCGCTTGCTGCTGGCCTTGATTTGAATAGCCTGGCAGCAGGAAGTGCCCGAATTTGTATGAGTGGCCCACAGCAATTCGGCCAACTGCGAAATCTGGACTTTTGAAAGGCCACATTTGAAAACAGCGACGTTTGCTTTGCTGCTTGGGTTAGGGTGCTTCCAAATGCAGGGTAGCGGGTGGGTGATGGAGTGGCCCGGCGCTCAATCCAAGACCCATCCCGTGGGCTGCAGGGCATTTCCAGCAGCCCGGTGCGGGGGTCGCTCCGTTGAAAGATCATTCCTGCGAAAAGTCGCAGAAGGGCCTGATGACTCTGCTTCTCTTATTCTTGTAGGGCGCTCTTGTAAAAATCTTGTGGGACGGGCTTGTGGGAGACTCTTGCAAGGCAGTCTCGCGGACACTCTTCCAAAAGCGCGCCTGTGGGACACTTTTGTAGGACACTGTTGTGGGCATTCCTGGTGGACACTGTTGTAGGGCACACTTGTGGGACACTCTTGTGGGAAACTCTTGTAAGGCACTGTTGTGCGAAACTCTTGCAGGGGCACTTTTGCCGGGGACAATCTTCCGGCAAGTTGGCACGCGCTAAACCCAACCCGCAAAGACCTCAGCGTCAGCGCTTTCAAACCCTAGCTTTGGATCAGCCATCTGCCAAATTTTCAAGACTTGATGGTGGCTTCAGACCCTTTTTTGTTGATGACAAAAACAAATAGTCGTGATGTGCTTAAGCCTTGTCATGCCTTGTCATTATTTGTTGGTTCGACCTAGCATCACCTACTCCGAGAGCACCACGTGCTGAGGGCCCTACCGCACGGCGGGTTTTTCAAAGGCGCAGCAGCAACAGTGGCTGCCTTGGCTGGTCCCAATGTCTGATTGTTTGAGACTTGGAGCTCTAAGAACACCAAGAGAACATCGTCAACATTTTCTGAGCAAGCGACATTTTTGGTTCGTCCTGCCCAGATCTCTGAGAGAGGAGTCTTTTTGCCTTCAGTGGCACGGGCATCATTTTGGAATCTTGATTCTAAATGTCTACACTATTCGCCATGTATCGTTATTCTATGCCAATATGCAGTGGCGAGCGGAGCAGAATGTGTCGCTGGTTCATGCTGAGGTTCGGTGTCGACGAGACTGGGCATGTGCAGAACCTTTGACGCAAGATTTTCATGGTGAGAGTCCCCTCGCTTCATGTTTTGAGGCAGGATTCATGTTTCCAGCCAGGGGCCTATTCTTGGAACAAATAAATCCTTTCCGGAACGCGTCGCCAGCGTCTCCGACGAGTTCCCCCCAAGGAATTGGCACCGCTTCACAGCGGCGACGCGGTCGTTGAAGCCCTGCATCGACCCGCCGCTGGGACCTGCCGATGACGCGATGGGACGGGGGTGGCGGCGGTCGGCTGTGTCGGCTGTCTGGTGTTTACTATTTTTGTTGCAGGGGAAGTTAGGAGTCCTGTGTGGTTTCGTGTTGCTTCTATTTTGTTTTCCCACCGTTTGCTGTCTTGTCATGTTCTTTCGCTTTGGGCAAGAAGATTTGAACATATGGAAACCACAGATTCTCAAGCATTTTGCGGTGGTTTGTTCTGTTCTGAGATGGACGGTTTTTGTATGTTCTTGCACAGCAGTCTTTGGACTAAGTATTTATGCGTATCTATTCAGCCTGTCGGGGTATCTATGAGTCTATCAGGGTCTCAGAGGCCGTTAGGCATGTCAGTGCCTCGGCTGCCGCGGCCGGAACACCTCCACGAGAGTGGCGTGGCCTGAGCAATTTTGAGCAAGGTAGCCCCTGGTCAGGCCGGTGAGGGTCATGTTTTCGTCTATATAATAGGTACAATCACATCCTCTTGAGCACATCCTGCACCCGTCCTTCAACTGATCAGGAAGCAGCAGCAAATGGGCCTGAACCAACAGGAGCTCTGCGGTTCTGGGGCGTTCGAAGAAGACACTGAAGCCTGTTCATCATGGGCTAGAGACTTGATCTGGTACTTTCCGCCTCCCGTGTGTCCCGGTCATGGTAGGCTTCGTCAATCGTTTCAACGAACACCGACTGCCGTGGGTTGGCAACATCGATGCAACATCCGATGAAGGTTGAGCACAAAGGCTGTGACTCCAGTCAAAGGCCAGGAACAACTGCTCTGACACCGGAGTGCTTCTCATTTTCGGTGGAACGAAGAGTTCCAGCTTCAGAAGGCCGGTCCGAGCTCCTAGAGCCCGCCAGGAGATGATGCACTTGCTAGGAGAAGTGCTCGAGGATGCTTGGAAAGAGGTGAGGCACAAGGACCCCGCGCCGGGGCACTGAGACACCGGAAGAGGTGAGGCACATGGGGTGAGACCCCACACTTTTCCGGTCTAGAAGTTCTCGAAGTCCCAGCCAATGGATTTTCCTTCAGTCAATCTCAAGAGATTGAGCGGGTGCTCCATCCTAGAATCCTAGAATCCTCACCGGTGAAGCATTCATGCGGCCTTTTCACGCTGAGGTTGAAGGACTGGACACGCCTCAGATTCTTGGCCAACTTGTATATGGCTCGTCCCGTGCCTCAAGTTCCAAGTTGTGCATCCTCAAGTTGCAATTATCCAACCAATATCTCCTCCACATCTTCCACGGGGAATTCTTTTTTACAATCCCAGAGATGTGTCATATTTGGTGCAAGAATCCTGGGAGCAATTTCGGAGGTGCGAGTGGGTGTCCTGGTTCAATAGAGACAGTAGATCCTTTTATTCCGCCACGGGAGGGAGATCGAGTTTGCACCAATAGATTTTGTTCTCACATTTTGCAGGGTTTTCGATTGGCATCCCTCTGTTTCAGGAAGCAGCTGCCAGCAGCAATGCATGGCGCATGCCACTTGGACGTAGAACGAGACCCCCAAGGCCTTGGAATCTGAAGCGAAGCCCCTCAGAGGTCTCACTATTCGAACAGCCAAGTAGAGTCACGAGAAGCCAAGAAAGCCAAAAAACACATCGAGTTCTGGATGATGTTCCCATGCTTGCTTGCCTAATGAAGCCCCTGGTGAACACTCAGCGCTGAGGTCCTAAGTTGGAGCTTAAGAACCTTGTGGGCTGCTGGGGAGCTCCTCTCCAAGCCACTGGGCCGAAAGAAAGACGTTGTGTCAACGCATTTTCAAGATGTGGAAGGCCCGTCAACAATGACTGACCGTAGCTTTTTGGGAAGTCCACAATGACGCATCGAATCGCTGGATTTGCTTTTCTTTCGAGGGGTGGTGGGGCGAACTTTGCTTCCGTCCTCGCCGACGCAGTGCGGACTTGCTATCCAGGCCAGGTCCGTCGAGGACTGAGGGACCGAGCAGCCGAGGGGTTGGTCCATGGATCCATGTGTGGTTTCCGGTGAACACCCATCATCCGTTAGGGCGGTCCATCCTCGCCGTTAGGGTTTCTGGTGATACCGTGGAGTTCAGTGCGATTCCTTCAGCACGTTGAACAAGGCACCTATTGAATCCTATTGATGCATTGGTTACACGCCTGGGCTTTACTGCTTCAACCATGTCTGTCTCATGGCTGAGACGGTCGACCTCGATGCGACGAAAGGGGTTTGCCTCGAAAGGCTTCCGCGCGATGCGTGCAGACGAGGTGGCGCACAAGGCGGGAGATTTGCAGTCACCCTGCAAAACCGGGAACCATGCGTTTGGATGATTTGGGGTTTGCAGATGTCGGAATCACCAGCTTTCGTATGTACCATGCAAAGAACACCATGCTTGCTGTTCAGCTCCTTCCCAACCTGTTGCTGAGGTTTCCCACTTGGTCTCCAAATCCCTGGAGGAACGTCTCCCAATCGCTGCCGCAAGCGGCGACTTCACCGGGCGCATCTCGGTGATTATGATGATTGTTTTGATAAGCGAGGACCTTTCTCTTGGATTAGGATAGTCACTTGTAACTTGTATAGGTCCGATAGAACAGAACAAAACCGAACTCGGATGCCATCAGAATGGGCTTGCCCAACCTCATCTCCCAAGTCTGGTGTTCTGCGAGGTCGCTTGAGCTTGACTCAGGGTCCAAGCTGTTTGGAACCCGATCAAGACAAGGAGATCTGCTGCTTGAGATGGGAAGCCCACCAATTCCGGATTCGTGAAAAAAGGCCTCAAGCGTGAGGTGAACAAGTCAACAAGACACAAGGAGGAACTACAATTGGCTGGGGGGGCAGAAAGGAGCAGCGGCAGCAGTTTGCCATGCAGCTGGAGGTTGCCGTGGAGCAGGCCGTGAAGACGGCCACGAGCAAGCCAGGAAACCTAGAACGCAGCATTGAATGTGGACATACGGTGGGTAGCACATGGGGAACGCACCATTTTCTCAGATGAGTGATTCAACCATGTGCCGCTGACCCATCCCCTTCCAACCACCAGTGTGGTCTCGCACCTCGCGACACTGATCGTCTGAGGAGCTGGGGAACCATGGAGCAATCTGCACGGCCCTGCCAGCAGACCTGCCGGCGTGCGGTGATTCGGCAGGTGGGACATGATCTCCCCCCAGCTCTCGTGTGCACCGTTCCACCTGCCATCAACCAGCCCACAGACTGGTGTCATTCACTGATGGGCTCTGACACCATGAGCAGACTAGCATTGACTGACCCCTGCATCCTGCCCATCCTGTGAAGACCCCCAGAACCCGCGTTTTCGGGTTTTTCCACGTCAGAGCCATGCTTTCGGCGGGAACATGACCATGACCACAGGCTGCTGAGATGCTGTGGGATGCAGGCTTGCTGGCCAGAGGAGACCGCGTGTCAGTCGAAGACAAAGAGCGGAGGGCCGTCCTTCGACTCCGAACGCCTGGCATTGATCCACTTTATATACTCACATATGACATAGGAGCCCAATCTCGTTAGGAAATGGAGGGATCATTTGAACATGCCATTGGATCCATTTGGACGGGGAAACAAGGACGAAAAAAGGGATTGGGGCTCATTCGAGGTTTACAGACAATTTTGCTTTTTCTTTGTTCTAATCCAGCACTTGATTGCCAAGTATTTGACTTTGTGAGGAAATGCAGACATGCTGGTCATGACCTCAATAGAGGCTTGGGATGAAATGAGCATTGCCTATTTGTGGCCTTTGTGAGGGCTTAAAGATGGCACATGATGGCACGCATGGAGCATGATGAAACGCATCTTTCACGGACTTACTTGTAATCATGAGATTCTATACTACCCCCCTCCTAACCCCCCCCTTCCCAAGTATTATCAACTACTTATCATCTAGCTATCAGCTGCTTAATAGTAGCTTAATAACAAATCACAAAAATAGATGATGAATAATAAATAATATCAAAATAGACACATGATTGACTATTTCAGTCTTATTTTAGGCATGTCAAAATAACTATGGAATAGGGATGGAAAAAGGAAAGGAACAATTCAACGTGTGCATTTTCAGTCAGTGCATTGCATGCCAATTTCCAAAGAGAGAAAGAGAGAGAGAGAGAGAGAGAGAGAGACAGAAGAGAATCCGACAACTGTGGCTCAAGTGAAGACTCGTGAGTGAACTCACGAGTCTGGGAGTCTCTGACGGTATGTGGCGCGTGCGCAGCTGAGTCAAAATCAAAACACTAGTTTTTTAACATCTGCGCGGGAAGTATCAAGTAACTATCAATGAAGAGAATCCAAGTCTCAACTGAAGGCTTGATTGATGGAGGGGACGGACCAAGCAGATTTTCATCGAAGGGGCAGGGGACTTACTTTTCTCAAGTCAATGATTCAATGAAGTTCACATAGCGAGGGAAGCTCAGCACGGGTACCTGAGGTGTGGTACGATTGGCCCGGACCGACATTGCTGTGTATGAGTCACAGACAGTTCAATGTGAGTGGGCAGTTCAGCAGGCACACTCAATGGTGAGATCAGCAGTTGTTCATCCACAGATTCTTTGACGATAGAGACGATTAGGATATTTGTCTGACTAATTATTTTAGGTTTTGATCTGTTAAAATATATATTGGGTTGCCTTATATGTGTCCGTCCGCTGCCAGGCAATCATTCCATTCTTTGCCACACAGAATGGGAAGAAAGCGCAGGCCAATTTTCGGGGAAGCCAGGACGCCATTGACGACATGCATCATCGAATTTGGCCAGGTGTAGCCATTCGGAAATTGAGGTCAAAGAATTCTTTGCGCTCGACTAGGGATGACACGCAGGATATTTGGTTCCAGGAGTCAACCATGACAACATCCAGTTTCATATCGTTCATCACCTTCGCTATATCTGGGAAGCATCGCAATACCTTGGCCAGGGGTCAGGCATGCTCTGGTTTATCCAACCTGGTTTTGCTGATGACTACGTCATTGGGAGGATTTGACTTGGGACACATCATTTTTGGGTCCGACAACGACAATGAGACAAATCTCCACGTGAACACTGAGGGAAGCGTGGTTGGTTCTTTGTTTTGGACTCGTGAGTTCTTTATGGCACATATCCATAGTACATGGAAATCAGATGTCCGTGACGAGAAGAAGACTTGGATGACCAGAAAAAATGGACTTGGGCAAGTCAGCCTGGTTCAGCTGCTGGCATTTTGTCTGGATCCCAGCCACAGTGACACATTGCAACGGCTGCTAGTGGGGCCAGTGCTTGACATACTCTCAGAGTTTGCAAAGATTTTGGATGAGTCTGTTGCACTGTTAATGAGGGATGCTGATGATCTTGGACAAACAGTTGGTTTCAAGAACAAGACGCGTATGGCTAACAACATCAAGAGGGTCTGGGTCGAGGCTGTAGTCAAGAAGTTGTGGAGTGGAGAGGAATCTAGTCCCACACGAACCATAATGTTACTCTTTTTGTTTTTTGATATTTTTTGAAGACAAGACAAGACCTTTCAAACTTCACGAAACCAACGCCCAGCTCGTGCCCAGGAAAAATTCATCAGTGAAGCGATTGCCACTTTGGGCAAAGTTGCCCGGCGCAGTATGCGTCCCTGTCAAGTCAGCATGCCGGCCGCAGCCAGGTTCTCAGAAAGGTCACCACTGTAGATTTACAATATTGTATCAAATACATGTTTTTGTTTATAAGATATATTATAATATATGGCGTGTCTGCCAGCGAGATACAGATTTGCGCGCAGTCGATCAATGAAACGATGTCATTGATCCATTTGTTTTTTTCCCAGCCGACCGATGGCGCAGCATCAGTCGTAGCGCTGCCATGCGCTGCCAAGTTTGCCTACTTCGTCTCCCTGACGAAGAAACTTCGTGAAGGGCGAACATTCCATGTAACAGTCTCAGTGGTTGTTTACTGTCGAGTCAAAGGTCAGATCACTGACGGACTATCTTTAATTTAAGAACATTGGTCCACAAAGCTGAACCCCATAATTTGTGGGGTTGATGCAAACAACTATGCCTGATTATACTCCCTTCTCACCTTGCCATGCCTGAGGTCTACATGGATGGATCGGCCGTGGGTTCACGACCCACTGAGTTGATGTACATTTGGGATGCTTGTGCATCTCACGGTGGTTGGGCTCCACCTTTGGCGGGGCCTCCCAGGGTCTCAGTGGAATGTGTCCCAGACTTATAGCATATGATATTAAGGGGCAGTTCATTCAATTTCATGGATGTCTAAAAGATATTTCATTTAATGGTGGGAGTCTGTAACAGACTGGTCAAGCAGTTGTGTGAACTCTGAGACGCTCGTCATTTCACTGCAGGCAGGTCAGTGATCAATGATCACAACAGCAAATCCTAATCATATCATAGTGATAATCTGATAGTCACAACCTTAGACGAGGATGCACAGTCGGTTTGGCTGCTTTTCAAAAATAGTCATTTGGTTTTACTGGTCAGTAACTGTCCCTGGCTGGCTTGCAATGTCAAGCGCAGCCTCAAATGCTAGCAACAAAACTAGCAGTCATGCCGGCAGCCGTTGTAGCGTTACAGTGAGCGACGCCCCTCCCTGGACACAGTCACTGTCGCAGCCAGAATCAGTACTGTCTGAATCCTTGGAGGACTGCTACTTTACCAGCAATGTTTCAACAAATAGGAGGTTGTGACATTGTGAACTGATTCGTTGTAGGCTTTGTAGATAAGGTCTAAAGTTGACTCAACCCACTGAACTGAAGTCATGTCACAACCCATATGTCAGGACTTGAGGCTGAAACCCCGTTTGGAACAAGCAGCGCACGCTGTCCAGTTGGCTTGGCGCAAGGTCTTTCAGCTGGTTGGAAAAGACGACCTGGAGGACAATGGTGTTTTAAATGGTGGCTCACTGTGAGACTCATATTGAATGCGAAAACATACACAAATAACAATAATAATTGGTTCATTAAATTCATTAGCTAACTAAGTTGAAATACAGCAAAATGATTCTGACAGACCTGAAGGCGTCTATGTTGACCAGTGTGCTCTACACGTCATCCAGCTGCACCGGTTCCTTTTCTGGAGAGATGGCGTTGGCAGTGGTGGAACGAACCATCAACAACTCCAACATGCTAGACATCCCATTGCGTTTCATTCCTGTGCAGGCACACGACCTTCAGCAGCATAATAATTATTATGGCATTTAAACTTTCATACTTCCTGTACAGTTTCCCTCCCAGTCACACACAGCCCCACCTTTTTGAAGTTGTTGTCATGGTCATGGCCGGCTCTGTTAACCATTCCTGAGTGATTGAGGAGATCAAGCAATCTTGCAGACAGCTGATCTTTGACAATTCCCGCTGGGTGAATACGGCAACAGCGGCTTGGCGCCCATGCCCCTGCATTTTTGGGGACTTGACCCACATCCTTCCACCAGACAGTTTCAATCCAGATGGACCTTTTCGTGAGAAGGTGAGGGCTATCCACAGAGCGCCATTGAGGACGAGTCAACACTGCTTTACGCATGGGAAGGATTGCCCAATTTTTGGCTCCCACGTTGACATTGATTTGGATATCTCTGGACTTCCATGCCCTGATCACTCTCCAGCTGGCCTACGGATGCATGAACAGGGCAAGACTTCAGCAGTTTTTGCATGCCACGCAAAACTCCACTGCGCTTTGCAGACACCTTTATTGATCATCGAAAATGTTCCGGACGGGGTCCCATGTCACAGTTGATCAACAGTAGGTGAGTGAAAGGCATCAGGTTTGTTACATTGTCAAATATGTAATCTAACGTGATGATAGGAACCCACTGGTGAAACTCATGGGGACTTAGCAAAACCTGCAGGAACTGAAAATGAGCATGATTATGCGACTGTACGGCAAGCACTATGCCATCAAGACGCTGTATGTCGCTCCGGCAGATCAGGGCCACGCAGCTGTAGCTCGAGATCGCGTATACCTCATTTTGTCGCTCAAGGCTAAGGTGGTTCAATTGCATGATGTAGAAGAGGTCTACAAGGAGTGTCGTTAGTTGAACATTATGAGTTGTTTTTTTGCAGTGAACTATTAGATCAATTACTCTTTAGAATCAATGTCGATGTTCAAATAATGGAAGTGAACCTATTGATTAGATTCAAATACTGTACATTCTTTTAGAATCATACTCACGTGACGTGTGTGCAGGATGTGTCCCAGTACATCATCAAAAACGTGCTGCCGACCAGACCTAGAGATTATCTCGTTTCAGGACAACAAGACTTCAGGTTTGAGGCAATGCGAGTGTGTGACACACGCCGGATTCGCTTTCGAAGACGACATGTGTCTTGGCTTAATCGTTTCCCTTCCCATCCGAATTCAGTCCTCGGAAAGTCGGTAGCAATGTTTTTGAATCGAACGATACTTAGATTAACTGGTGGTGACTCAAACCACTCAGGCACTGCCTGATGGGCATCCCTACAGTATGAAATACGTTCTGAATCAGCGAGAGTCACAGGGGTTGGAATATGCTTGTGACCTATACCAGCAACGCTTTGGGAGACCTCCGCAAGATGATCCTGATCTGTTCATTCATCTGGGAGACAATCCACGAAAGTTTTTGTGCTGGTCTGCTGTGTCCGGCAGAATGCCAACATTTCGTACAGGCAGTGGATTTTTTTACAATCCATTCAAAGACTGTTGGCTTCTGCCCAAAGACAAGCTTGCCTGTTTAGGCTTCCCTGTAACACCAGA